TATCATCCAATTCCTGTTTATAAACTCACCACTAGTACAACAATTAATCGCTAGACAAACTTCAAAGTTTATTGAATTGCTCCTTTTGCTACTAGTGATTTTTGAGCCACCGACCACTAGCCTTTTCTACATGGTTTGGTAGAATGATGTGCAGCTGAAAGGTATAAGCATTCTAGTTGCTAGGAGCCTAGGACTATATGCAGCATGCTCACTTTAATTTTATAACATAGTAATTGCTGCTAAGATTGCCTGACATACGACCAGTTCAAAATCTATTTCTTTGTCCTCTTATATGTTGATATGCAACATCAGATGGGAGAACTGAAGAAACTGGTCGAGGAGGGGAAAATCAAGTACATAGGCCTATCTGAAGCATCGGCATCAACCATCAGAAGAGCACATGCAGTTCATCCCATAACAGTAGTCCAGATTGAATGGTCATTGTGGACGAGAGATGTGGAGGAAGACATAGTTCCTACCTGCAGGTGAGTTAATCTGATACTTGGTAAGTGAATGTGAAAACTTGGGACTGTGTCTCAGAGTTCTGACTTTGTTGTATCTTGACATAGGGAGCTTGGGATTGGAATTGTGGCATACAGTCCTTTAGGAAGAGGCTTTTTCTCTTCAGGGCCTAACATGCAGTAGCGCTTTTTCAATTCATGCAAAGGTTCCTTGTTGCATTTGAAGCCTTTCTTGGTGTACTCCCACTCAAAATTAACCAACAAGTTCATTGCCCGTCATTTTGTCAATTAACATTTATAAATATCGTTGTTATTTGCTTCTAGAATTTGACCCCTTGATCTTTATTGGTAACAGGGCACTTCAAAGCTAGTAATTCTAGGTTACTTATTTCTAAGGGTTTTTTCTCTATATCTTCCATGATTCACAAACATAATAAAGTTGTACTTAATGAATGGAAGTAAATATGAGGGCTTATCTCGATTATTAAACTAATCCCTGTCATAGTACAAATAGCTGTGTGAAGATTATTGATCTCTAGATTCATCTTGATCTACTCATTTCTTTTCCTTTCAGCTCTTACCAAGGTTCAAACCAGAGAAGCTAGAGCATAACAAACATTTATTTGAGCGGGTCAGTGAAATAGCTGCTCAAAAAGGATGCACCCCAGGACAATTAGCGCTTGCGTGGGTTCATCACCAGGGAGATGATGTATGTCCCATCCCCGGAACCACTATAATTGAGAACCTCAACCAGAACATTGGAGCCTTGTCTGTAAATCTAACTCCATGAGAAATGGCTGAGTTAGAATCTCTTGCCTCAGAGGGCAGTGTTAAGGGTGATCGATATGGAGGTTTATCTTCTACCTGGAAGACTTCAGACACCCCACCTTTGTCTTCATGGACACCTGAATGAAGGGTTCATCATATATTGTACAACAGTATCCCAAAGGATAATGTTTTGTTGTGAACATCAGTAGTTTTTTAATCAATTTACTTTTTTTTGTACTGCTGGAGTTGTTTTTGCTAGTTAAGTGTGCTTTTGTTTCTTTTTGTATCAATATCTTTTGCCTTAATAAGAAGATTTACTTTTCATGTAATTTTCATGGGTTGATTTCCTTGACTCAGCTGTTATTACATAATTACATAACTATCTGACACACGGAAATTAAAGGATAAGTGATACCATGAGAATAGTCAAATTTAGCAGAAGGCCACATCCAGCCCCTCTTATTGAAACTCCAGTCCCTGAGATTTGAGCTTGGCCAAAGGTTTCTCTCGCCTATTTAACATTCACTTTACACACAGTTACATACACCCAGAAAGCAGAAACAGGAAAAGATGGCATCAGCTGTTAAGAGGGTAAAGCTGGGTTCTCAGGGTTTGGAAGTATCAGCTCAAGGTCTTGGATGCATGGGGATGTCTGCCTTTTATGGCCCTCCTAAATCCGAGGAAGACATGATTCAACTGATCCACTATGCTATTGACTCTGGTATCACCTTCCTCGACACCTCTGATGTTTATGGACCTCATACTAATGAGTATCTCCTTGGCAAGGTAATTTAAGATATGCCACCTTTTATATATGATGATTCTATATGCTCTTTGTTTATTTATTTATTTATTTTTAAGCTTTGATTTAATGGTTGTGTGCTTAGTTTTGGTAAAAAAAATTCCCGAGGTATTTTGATTTATTTTTATGATGCCGTTTTGTGTGTAGCTATTTATTTCAACAAGATATAGTTTTTATGCTGATTTTTTGTGTTACTGAATCTGGGTGTTGGGTTGTTAACTTTAATTGTTAAGTGATATCAACTTAGCAGTCAGGTTTTGGGAACAAGATCACTCGTTAATTGGACTTGGTACCAATTGGAACTTCAAGTATGATGCAGCTTTGGGGTTTTTTAGGATATGATTAAGCTAGCTTTCTTTTTCTTTTCTTATTATTTGGCTTGTGGATTTGTGTTGGGCAGGCATTGAGAGGAGGTTGGAGAGAGAAAGTGGAGTTGGCTACAAAATTTGGCCTCAAATTTACTGATGGAAAAGGAGAGATTTGTGGTGATCCGGCATATGTAAGGGCTTGCTGTGAGGGAAGCTTGAAGCGGCTTAATGTTGATTGCATCGACCTCTATTATCAGCACCGTGTTGATACCAGAATTCCCATTGAAGTCACGGTGTGTTCATTTACTTCATTTTATTTTCTTATTCACCCTGAAATGGAATCTGCTGCTGGACACACTATTCATTATTTAACTTGAATTATCAGTTTTCTTGTTATTTCTAGTAACATTTGGACTATCACTTAATATTATGGAGAGAATAGACCAAGATGGACAGTCAGGGTGAAGATAATTCAATATTTCATTTTCTGTGTGTGGAGATGTTGGAAAAAAAAGCGGGGGGGGGGGGGGGGGGGGGGGGGGGGGGGGGGGGGGAGGGAGAGGAGGATTTGGAGCATCATGTGATTTGACGACAATTTCAGTGGCAATAATTATAGGTTGATAATTGTTTCTATCACAAGGGTGTGCCGTATACTCTCAGATGCACCTAATGGGTTATCAATAATGGGAGGGGTTAGTGGTTAAATTAATTCTGTAAGATAAAGCACTTGCATCTTTTCCAGTCCTTATTGAGGTGTTGTACAATTTAAATCAATCCATTCCGTACTACATGAAAGTTGGCTATCTAGACCCGAGATAGTAGGATAAATTTCCAGTAATCCTTGGAGGAAAGTAATTTATAAAGTTGTAAGCCACTTTAGACATCTTAGAGCAACCTATCTCAAGCATTTTCCCATACACAAATTCGAAGTACTATACATTGTTAGGTTGGGTGTTATGCTACTAAAGGGTGCAGGGGATTTTTTTTTTTAATTTTTTTTTATAGTTTATATTCATGAAATAGTTGCTGGCCTTGCTGCTATACTAAGATTGATTGAAAACCAGTTCTGTCTTTTGTTTGTTGACATGCTGCATTAGATGGGAGAGCTGAAAAAACTAGTAGAGGAGGGACAAATCAAGTACATAGGTCTATCTGAAGCTTCAGCTTCAACCATCAAAAGAGCGCATGCAGTTCACCCTGTAACAGCCGTTCAGCTAGAATGGTCCTTGTGGACAAGAGATGTGGAGGATGAAATAATTCCTACCTGCAGGTGACATGTTTCTGATGCTCGAAATTATAATGAGAACATAAATTGTTGTGTTCAGATTTCTGACTTTAATTATCTTTAGGGAACTTGGAATTGGAATTGTGGCATATAGTCCTCTTGGAAGGGGGTTCCTCTCTTCAGGGCCTAAGATAGTGGAGAGCTTCTCAAAGGAGGACCTTCGGCGGGTTTGTCCAATTACTGACTTATTTGTATATACAATGTATATATGTATTGCATGTGTGCCAAATAAGTTCTCGTTTTGTACAGTGTGAATCACTTTTGACTTGGTTCAAGAGCTATAACTATAACCAATTTGTATCCTCATCGTGATTGAATATATTATTAACAGCGGCAAATTAAGATTTTTCAGTCTTTGCAGAATGATACCTTTGTACTTAGTTTCATAGTCTATTCCCCTTTGTAAAATCTAGCCTTTTTCGGTTGATATTGCTTACCGACTCTAGTCATTATCCTCTGTGCTCCCGATTCTAATCAACGTCAGCTGTTAATTTCCTAATTGCACTGTTTAATAAGTGATGTATATAGCTGATAGAGTTGAGTAAAAATCATCTTCAGTGTAACTGTATGTTGCATGGAAGATAAGAAGATACTATACGTCTGCTGCCTCCTTGTATTATCGTTCTGTCACTTTTGCGTGAAATTTACCTTGCTTGTTTCAATATTAATCTCTAGCTACATGTTACTCTTATTGGCTTTCAGAACTTGTCAAGGTTCCAACCAGAGAATATTGAGCACAATAAACACATGTTTGAGCGGGTCAGTGAAATAGCAGCCCGAAAAAGATGCACCACAGCACAACTAGCGCTTGCATGGGTCCATCACCAGGGAGCTGATGTGTGTTCCATCCCTGGAACCACTAAGATTGATAACCTCAACCAGAACATTGGAGCCTTATCTGTGAAGCTTACTCCTGAAGAGATTGCTGAGCTAGAACCCTTTGCCTCTGCAGACAGCGTTAAGGGCCATCGATATGGGGGTCTTACTAGTACTTGGGAAAATTCAGAGACTCCATCTTTGTCCTCCTGGTCACCTGAATGAGGATGGTGCATATACTGAATCCTATGTTCTTAAATGTTGCCGCCTTTGTGTGATGATCATCTTGTTGTAGGTAATTATACTTTCTTGTCATAACAATAATCAATTTTTTTCGTTTTTGGGTTTTACATCAAGTTTAGGGAGTTCGTGATCTTGAATTGAAGCTGTATTAATAAGTTTTGCGACAATACAGAAATCTCTTCATGAAAGTTTTTTTAGATCAGCTATTGCACACACAAATGCAAGTTCATATCTAGCGATTCTATCCTGTTCAATTAAGGGATTTTGCCCTTCTTTCTAATTTTTTTTTTTTTTTCGTGTATCATAATGGTTTCACAATTGGATTACAGTACAAAGGTTTAGAGTATACAACAAAATCTTGTAAAATAATACTAATAAATAACAAAATCATTAGCTAATGAAAAGTTCAAAAATAACAGCTTAAACAAATTTTATACACAACCCCTAAAACAAGATAAAAAATAATGGAATAGTATATATAATCTTTATAGGCAAAATAATTTTTCTAAAAAGATAAATTCAATAATTTCCATACTTCCTGACAAAAAATAAAATAAAAATAAAAATCCTATTTTCTTAACTGAATTGAGAATAAGCAATTTAGATCAAGTAAAACTCCAAAGATTAGGTACCTATTATTCAGCTATTATTGTTGCGCAAATTCAAGGTAAGACCACAAAAAAATCTTCCTTCCTCTCGAAAGCAATATTAACAGAAAAATCTTAGTATTAGAATCAATGGTTTTCTGCCATTGTCATAAGTATATATGGTGTATAATCAGTGCAACCTTCATACTGTTCTGTCTTTCATTGCATACCTATCATTACTTATCATCCTATTCAAACACAGCGAAACAAACAATCCGTCTCATACCGGTAATGAATCAGGAAAGAGCAGAGAAGAGATTAATCAATGTACAAGAAGATCCGTGCTCGGGCCGTTACATTTACATGCATGATCTTCCTGCAAGGTTCAACCATGACTTAGTAACAAAATGTCATACACTTAGTCAATGGTTTGATTTCTGCCCTTATGTGAAAAATGAAGGTTTTGGCCCTCGGCTTAATGAGACAAGTTGGTATGCTACTAATCAGTTTATGTTATCAGTGATATTCTATAATAGGATGAAGAAGTATGAATGCTTAACTACTAGTTCTTTTATAGCATCAGCAATCTATGCCCCGTTTTTTCCTGGCTTAGAAGTAGGTCGGTTTCTTTGGGGTGGGTTTAACTCATCAGTTAAGGATGCGGCAGCCCTTAATTTTTCTACATGGCTAAGGAGAAAACCTGAGTGGAGCCGGATGTTTGGTAAGGATCATTTCTTTGTAGCTGGAAGAATCACTTGGGACTTCAGGAGGCTAAGAAACGCGAACTCTAAGTCATGGGGTAATGCACTCTTAAACTTGCCTGAAGCGAAAAACATGACAATGCTAACCATTGAGTCAAGCCCTTATGGCAGCAATGACTTTGCGATCCCATATCCGACCTTTTTTCATCCTTCGAGTGACAGAGAGGTGATTGAGTGGCAGCAACGCGTGAGGAAATCAACAAGAAGAAGATACCTCTTTGCATTTGGTGGGGCTCCTCGCCCCAATATGACAGGATCAGTCAGAGGAGAGTTGATTAGTCAGTGTAAAAACGCGATAGGCAATAGTTGCAGGTTACTTAATTGTTTGCATAAAGATGATCTGTGTAACAGTCCAAAGAATATTATCAAGACATACATGAAGTCTGATTTCTGCCTGCAACCTCCTGGGGATTCATACACGAGAAAGTCTACTTTTGATTCGATCTTAGCTGGCTGTATCCCGGTATTTTTCCACCCTGGATCGGCTTACATTCAGTACTTGTGGCATTTTCCTAAGAATTACACAAAGTATTCTGTGTTTATACCAATGGACGGGATTAAAAATGGGAGTGTAAATGTTAGGGAGTTACTGTCAAAAATTCCTGACAGTAAAGTTTTTGCTTTAAGAGAAGAGGTAATAAGGTTGATCCCAAGAATTATTTACGCGCAAAATAAGTTGGAAACATTTGAGGACGCATTTGATGTATCTGTTAAAATGGTTCTCAGGAGGATTGAGGAAGCTAGGATAAGGTTTCGACAATGGAAAGAGGAGTCAAGAAGGAAGTATTACTTCACAGGAAAAGGCGAAGATCATGAATGGGATTCTTATTTCTGAAGCAAGCAGAATTTGCAGAAATAATGCCAAATTTTAAAGTTATAATTGTGGAAATGAATTGATAGTAAAAGTTGTAGTTAGGTATACTGTAATATCTGACTTCATGATAGTTTTTTACTGCTTAGCTTTAGATTTAGATTTTGACATATAATCTTAGGGAGAAACATAACAAAACTAGTCATCTTTAATCAATTGTCTAATGATCAGAATGCATGATTTTATTTCTATTCTGTTTAGTTTGAAATAAATATTGTATGATGAGCTGATGATAGCTTACTTGATGGCAACTTGTTTGATCAGAATATATGATTATACATTTATACTCATAAACAGTTATAATGTTAGAATGTCTTACTAATAACATCGTTAAAATATGAAAGATCAGTATAGCCCTGACTCAACTTGATCAGCGACTAACGCGGGCAGACACCTAGGTAGGGTGGGTAATGCCAGAGATTCTAGTCACTAACACATGCATTCATCTCTAGCAACTTCAACTTGCTTAAATTGCTGCAAGGAGACCTGAAATTTCTGTAATAAAAAGTTTGACAAAACTTGCAGAAGTACTCATTGAGAAATAATGAGGTTCATTCCAAACCTCTCAAAGGAGATCTAACTGTGTAAAACTTGTGAAAAATTGTACCACAACAATTCAGTCATACAGTATATACATAAGTTAATGATTATGCATACATTACAAAATTCATAATTTGGTCGAAATGTCAGAAGAAAGAACTCCACTCCTTTAATTTACCTTCTGAGAAATACTCTCTGCTTAAATTTCCAGAGGAATTGTTGCTTGGTTCTGTTCCTTCTTGAATTAGTCTCCTGGCATCTTCAATCCTTTTGAGAATTTTTCTGACAGCAACATCAAACGCGTCTTCTACCATATCCAATTTTTTCTGTGCATATAATATTCTCGGTATCAATCTTATTACCTCTTTTCTCATGGAAGACACTTCTTCCTCTGAAATCTGTGACAGCAACTCCTGAACTCTGACAGTCCCATTTTTAACCCCATCTTCTGGTATAAATACTGAATATTTGGTGTAATTTTTCGGAAGATGCCACAAGTACTGAATGTAAGCTGATCCAGGGTGGAAGAAAACCGGGATACAGCCAGCCAAGATCGAATCAAAAGTGGACCGCCTTGTGTATGAATCCCCTGAGGGCTGCAGGCAGAAAACCGACTTCATGAACATCTCGATGATATGTGTTGGACTATTGCACTGATAGTTGTTTGGCATACAGTTAACTAAGTTGCAACGATTGTTCAGAGCATCTTTACACTGACTGATCAGCTCCCCTCTGATTGACTGTTTCTGATTGGGGCGCGAGGCCCCAGCAAATGAGAAGAGGTATGCTCGCTTTTTCGTTGCTCTCCTCACTATTTTCTGCCACTCAAGCACTTCACTCATGTTCCAGGGATGGAAATAGGTAGGATATGGGATCGCGAATTCATTACTTTCATAAGGACTTGATTCTATTGTTAGTACTGTCATGTTCTTGACTTCAGGCAAATTCAAGAGCTTGCTACCCCAACCGTCGTTACTATCACTTGTTCTCTTAAAATCCCAATTAATTCTCCCTGCTACAAAAAAATGGTCTTTACCAAACATTCGATTCCACTCGTGCCTTTTCTTTAGCCACACGACGAAATCTAAGGCTTCTGCATCCTTGACTGAGGAGTTTACCTCGCTCCAAAGGTATCGTCTTATTTCTAGGCCAGGGTAAAATGGAGCATAAATCGCCAAGGCCAAGGAAGAGTTCCTAGTCAAGCACTCATATTGCTTCATTCTATTGTGAAATATCACAGATAACATAAACTGGTCAGTATGATACCAACTGTTCTTGTTAATTCGAGGGCCTAAACCGTCATTTTTCACATAAGGGCAGAAATTATACCATTTAACAAGAGTATGACAATTTTTAAGCAAGTTTTGGTTGAACCTTGGAGGCAGATCATGCATGTAAATGTAACGGCCCGAGCAAGGATCTTGCTTAACATGAATGTCTAGTGATTTCGGATCATATTTTTGCTTCCTTGTTGCTTCTTGATCAACTCTTGGAGTGATTTTTCCCGGCGTCTGCCTACTAACATTGCAATTGGTAACAATTATAGTACTTTCATATGTGAATGAGTTGTAGTAGTAGGCAGGCAATACAAGGCACAACAATAAAAGTGTTACAATAACCATATTCAATCGAATTTTGTGACAATTTTTGGAGAATTGCATCAAGCTTAATGTTGGCTTCCTAGAGAATATCAAGGGGGACATCATTTTTCTTGTATATGCTTGAAATTACACAAGTTTCTACTATATACAAACCTTCGAATGACCATACATTTTCACATACAACCGTTGTATGAGAAAACTTTTATCGAATGGCTAAGCTAATGGGGTGTGGTTTAAATTGTTGTGAACTATTATTATGAGGAATCAAGACTATATGGTATACATTTTTTTCATGTCACAATATGAATGATTCTGATGAACTTTAAAATCAAATTGAATAATATTCTTTCCATACTTAAAAAATATTCATATAATCATATGATTTTCTTCCATTTATATTATTTTTCTTGTGGTATTCCAACTCATATATCCAATGCCATAAGATATTGTAGGATTCTTACTGAAACAATGATTAAAAATACTCTATATATGAAGGAAAGAAAAGATTAAGTATTAAAGTGTATTACCAAAGTATTTAATTGGATTGGATTGGACTGTATTTATTATTATAACCATTTCTTTTTACCTTAAATATATAATACAATGTATTCATTCAAAATTAGTTTTAATAAATAATTTTGATCAGCTTCAAGTGGTAAAAAAATAATTTGAATAGGTAAAATTCGATTTCAATAAAATCTATATCAATTTCAATTATGAAAATTATCAATTAATAATTAGATGTAAGCCTTCAGCTTTTAGCTTATATATTGACCCTTATTAGAGGTTTGATCATTTAAAAAAGCTAATTTGGGAGTTTGGCAAATTAGCTTATTGAAAATGTTTTTAGGGTTCAAACAACCCGTTTAAAAAACCCTCATATTAGAAGGTTTTTGATTAAATTTAGCTTATTCAATTAGCTTTAAAAAAAATTAAAAATTAATTTATTATATACATTGAAACAGCTAATAATAATTAAAGTTATTCCATATTTACCAAACGCTTTTACAAAAATTGTTATTACTAACTAGTCAAATTTACTAATATAGCAAGTTAGTTAAATTAGTCTGCTCTGCTAACCTCTGGTCTGCTCTGCCCAAAAGCTCAAAAGAACATGACCTTAATACAACCAACTATCAATCAGTAATTAGCTACCGGTTCAAAAGTCCAAGTCCTCCAATCTATTACAATACATAATATATTATGCGCCTGATTTACTCATACTCATTTAAATATACAAAATTCAACCATGGGTTATAGTGTTATGCTACCCTTCACTTCTTTCTCATTTGTTTCACCAACTTCATTTTCTTTGTTTTCAATACACATATTTGATCATTATTATCTTCAGCTATGTATTTAAAATATCTATAGAGTTAATGTTAAAATTGTTCAATTTATGTTAAAATTTAATTAAAGGTGTCATTTTGAATGTTCAGGATCGGATTCGATGAGGTGGTCGAGTCTACTAGCATCCAACATTTCTATTATGGGTCCACTGCGAGTTTACTCAAAAACCACGCTCCCCTTTTATCAAGTAACGCTCCCCTTTTGATATGTATGTACGAACTTACCCTCCTTCTAAAATGGTCTCCTATGGTCCCATTTCACTTTAACTTTATTATTGAATTCCCTTATACTTTACCACATGCAATCGTACCTCCCCGACCCCACCACAAAGACGTCGTAATTCAAAATATTTTAAAAAATTCTGTAATATCTCTTTACGACTGTCGGCCGATGGATGACAACAACCTTGCAACACCGGAGCATTCGTCGAAGCATATGGCGCATCATCTGAAGTTTCGTTTTTCTTTATTTTTATATTTTTAAGGAAACGCCTGGAAATTATAGAACTCCAAGGGAGAAACACCTGGAAATTATAGAACTCCAAGGGAGAAACGCCTGTAAATTCCTGATCCCCTTGGAAGAAACGCCTGGAATTTCGAATCTTCCAAGGGGATTCAGAAATTTTAGGTATATCCCCCCTTGGAGTTCCAAAATTTTTAGGCGTTTCTCCCTTGGAGTTCCAAAATAATAATAATAATAATTATTATTATTATTATCCCTTCCCCTTTCGACCAAACACAATATTTCGTCTAGGTGGTTGTTAGTATAGATCTAGTGGTGTGTGGATGTGTTCGTTCTAGGGTTTTTTTTTTTTTTTTAAATCTGAATTTTATTAATTGTAGAAGAGAAAAGTGTGTGAATGTTATGTTTTTATCAAAAAAAAAAAAAGTAATGAAAGAGTGGAGTAAAAAGTGAAAGATAAAAGAAGATTAATATATTTAAAAAAAAAGGGTAATTAAGTCCATCCAAATTAAAATGAGAGCGTTACTAGGTAAAAAGGGAGCGATATTTAGTACAACCCAAACTCAAACATAAACCAAAAATAGAAAGCCCACTAAAACGCCATTAAATCTCCCTCTTATCAAAACATCATCCACACTCTTCTCCCTCCTTTCCTCTTTCTCTCTCCTCTTTCAACAAACAACGAACAAGAAGAAAGCTCTGAAACCTCAAAAAATGGCGACCATTACAGCTTCTTCTCAATCTCTCTTTCTCCTACACCCTAAAACCCCTTTTCTCTCCTTATCAAAACCCACCAGAAAAACCCTCTTCTTCGCAACCTGCGCCGCAACAACCACCAATCTCTCTCTTCAAATTAGGGCTTCTTCTTCATCTTCAACTCCAGCACCTTCAATTTCATCAATTCCAACTTTACCCTTCAACAATTCCCCACTTTCCACTTCCATGCGCCCAATCACCACCTTGATCACCACCATTTTCTCCGTTTCGAAACTCTTCGCTACTAAAATCGCTTCGATTTTACCCTCACCAACCCCTAATGAGCTCCAGAATCTCAGCAATTTGAGGAAGAATTTGCTCTGTTCAGTGGGTCCTTTGTTCTTCGCCGCATTGAAAGACCGTCCAAGTGGTTCACTTAACACTCCATTGACAGTTGTTGCTGCTGGAATGGCGAAATGGCTTGATATTTATAGTGGGGTTTTAATGGTTAGGGTTTTGCTCAGTTGGTTCCCTAATATTCCGTGGGATAGGCAGCCATTATCGGCAATTAGGGATTTGTGTGATCCTTATTTGAATTTGTTTCGGAATATTATTCCTCCAATTTTCGATACATTGGATGTTAGCCCGTTGTTGGCGTTCGCGGTGTTGGGACTTCTTGGCTCGATTTTGAACAGCAGTCTTGGGAGTTATTGATGGAGAAGATGAAGGTGGGAGATTGAGTAAGCTGTTTATGTATGGTATTGTTAAATTTTGTTTTTATAAAATTTTGTTATAAGAGTGAATTTTGAGTTAGAACAATGGATTATACTGATTTAGTAAGCTGTTAGTTCTACTTTAGACGAAGAAATGGAATCATCAAATTATTGAGGAAATATTAACCTATAATTATTTATATATATATATGCTATTTTCAATTTTGTTATCTTGTTGATGATGAATTGATGAGGATGATTTCTTTTTGCTCTGTTGATATCAAATTTGAGTGAGTTGGGTATCAGCGTATGGTGTAGTATAATGTTTTGTGGGATTTTGTTGATGCACTGTGAAGTATGGTTATTTAGCAAGTTGTTAGTTACATAGATTTATTTTTGGTAAGGAAAAGAAAACCATCAAAATCTTGAGAAATTCGAGTTCATACAAGATTTTATTGATTGCATTGATATTGGTGATGTAAAGCTCCAAACTATATGAGCTTGTATATAATGGTGTGTAATGAGATTTGATATTGTTGGAGTAGTGTGAGATACTGTTATTTAAAAGATATTGTTGAGGTGTAGAAGAGTTATATTACTAGGCCATATTGTCGATCTTTTGAAAAAGACTTGGGGAGTATGAGAACTGTAAAGTAATATACGTAACTTAAATTAGAGGTTTCAAATTTTCAATCCCCTTGTTGATTATATTAAGTTGTCTTGTGGTGCTTAGATCTTTTAGTACCTTGCTTAGAAAGGGTTTAAGAAAAGGGTAAAGAGACTAACTTTAGGTGCCTTTTCTTTTTTACTCTGTTTTGTTGCATTGTCTTGAGATAATTTTGCAATTGGTATTAAGGGTTACAGAGTAGTTTTATAACATCTTTAATCAGAGCATTTAAAGTTTGTGCCAATAGTAAAATTGTTGAACTCTTTCTGTTAGCGCCTTAATCTTTGCCCTGTCACCATTCTCCTGTAATCTTTTCAAGCATTTAAACAGGGTGGATATTCATAAGTTGGATGGTTTTCTTTAATTCTTAAGAACCCAAAGATAACCTTTTTGTTTGCTTTAGGTTTAATTGGGAGATCCTTTTGTTCCTTTCCTATCAACTTGAATTGTCCTTAGCACCAACTGTTTCATGTTGAATTGGCTTGGAAATAGAAAATATGAGTGAAATGAAAAAATATTAAATAAAAAAATGTGGGGTGATTGAGGTATATAAATGTTCTGGTATATCTCATCTGATTGGTTACTTTGTCGATATCCGCTATATCAGTTTTCCGAGGGTAACATAGGGTGTGTCAGAAAGTCTATAGGTCTCCAATTAATAAAATTGGAGCAGCTCTTCTTTTAAAATCTTATTGTAGAAGAAGCTGAATCGAAACCTAGCTTAATTGATAGCAGGAGGTTGTATGCTTGTGATTGGAAATGTAGGAGGGGCAATGTCACATTAGTGGATGCTAAAAATTGCTGAGCACTATTTTAGTATTTTATCAGCGGCTTAATCTTTATCCTGTTTCCATTCTCTAGCTTTTTAAACATCCAAAGATCCCAAACAGGCTGGATTTCATGAATTGGAAACTCTGATTTCCTAACTTTTAACGACCAAAGTTGTTTACTTTAGGTTTAATTGGGAGTTCCTTTTGTGTCTGACATACTTGTGAAATGTCTCATTTAAGATTGTCGCAGCTGCTCTTACACTAAGAGTCTTATTGTAATTTTTTTTTTTCTTTTTTTGACAAGATATTGTAGATGAAGCTCAATCAGAACCTACCTTTATTTATGGTAGGGGGGTTGTATGCTTGTGATTGGAAATGTAGGAAGGCAATGTCATATTAGCCCCAGTAAAGATGAGTTACTTGAGCTTAAAGAACCCAATTACCGGCTTTTCTAGTTTAGTTTTGTGCAGAATTGAAGGTGGAAGGTTTGAGCAAGCTGTTAATGTATGGTATTGTTAAATTTTGATTTTATAAATTTTTTGCTAAATGTGGGTTAGAACAATGGAATATACAGATTTTGTAAGCTGTTAGTTCTACTTTAGATGAACAAATGAAATCATTAAATTATTGAGGAAATTATCAACTTATAATTACTTATATACAAGTATATGCTATTTTGAGTTTCGTTATTCAGCTGATGAACGTATAATTATTTATATGCATATTATTTTGAGTTTTATTATTCAATTGATAGTTGATGATGATGATGATGATTTCTGTTTCTTTTGCTCTTTTGATATCGAATTCAAGTGAGTTTTGATATTTAATTGACAATGATTAGTATGGTTTCTTTTTTGGGATTTTTTAGGCACTGAAGTATGGTGAGTTTGCATAGTTATATTTTTGGTAATGAAAAGAAAACCATCAATTGTTCGGAGAAATTTGAACTCATACAAGTGTTATATCGACTGCATTGATATTGATGATGTAAAATCTCAACCTTGATGAGCTTGTTTTATAAATTGAAGTAATTTGAAATTTTAAATTGTAGTGGTAGTGTGAGATAATGTTGTTTAAATGGTATCGTTGAGGAGTGAAAGAGTTAATTTACTTGGCCTTGTTGTTGGTCTTTCAAAAAGACTTGGGAATACGAGACTGTAAAGTACTATACTTAACTTAATCAGAGGTTTTAGTCCTCTTTTTGATTGTCTTAAGTTATCTTGTGGTGATTAGATCTTTTTCAGTACCTCACTTAGAAAGAGGGGGGGGGGGGGTAAGGAAAGGGTAAAGAGACTAAATATAGGTGCCTTTTCTTCTTTACCCCATTTGGTGCAAAATTTCAGACAATTTTGCAATTTGTATGAAGGATTATGGAGTAGTTCTGACAAACCCTTAACCAGAGGTTATAAAATTTCTGCCATTGGTTAAAATTATCAATCACTATCTATTAGCAGCTTAGTGCCCTGATCCTATTCCCCTGTAATCTTTTCAAGCATCCAAACTGAGTGGAATTACATGAACTAAGAGCTCTGTTTTCCTAACTCTTAAGGACTCAAAGAGATACTTTTTTTTTGCTTTAGGTTTGATTGGGAGATCCTTTTGTTCCTTTCCTATTGACTTGAATGCTCCTTGGCACTTATATTTCGTGATGACTAGACTTGGAACAGGAAAATGTGAGTGAAATGAGAAGAAAAAAAAATATCAGTTGCTTGAGATGTATAAATGCTCTGGTTCATTTCATCTGACTGGTTTACTTTGTAGAAGCACTGAAGCAGGTTCCCGAAACACACCTGCTATATTAATGTTCTGAGGGTAACCAAAGGTGTGTCTGATATACTTGTGTATTTGTCTCAGTTAAGAGAGTTGCAGCTGCTCTTTCACTTAGTCTTTTTGTAGAAGAAGCTCAATCAAAACCTGTTTCACTTATGGTAGGAGGCTGTAATTGGAATGTAGGAAGCCAATGCCACTTTGACCCCTTTAAGGATGAGTTACTTGAGATAAAAGAGTTGAATAGCCTGCTTCTTGGTTTAGTTTTGAGCAGAATTGATTGTTATCATTTAAAATTGGTCTATTTTCTGACCATCTTGTAGAACTGTAAGCTTGTTTATTTGGGTTACCTGATTGTGTTTTGAGTCACTTTAACATAAGATGGATGTACAGTAAAATTCAGGTCACTTTTGGAGCAACTTTACTGTTTTATTGGAAGTCAATACTAGATGGGTGACTTAATAACTATTAATTGTTTAGGGGTGACTTTTCTGGGACAGTGGGACATGAGGTTTCCCTTTTTGTAACCCCAACTATTTCTGTGCTAATGTTTCTGAAACGTATCCTTTCCTGAAACATAGCTTATAACTTTGTAGCATTATGTAACATCTTTGGGCAATTTTTTTTTAACACCTATCTCCTATGAGAATTGGCCTTATAGAGTGCATAGTATGACGTATTAGACATAATCCAGCTTATTTATTTAGATAAGTCCAAATGGCAGTTCATAGAGATGAAGATAATTTATGTGAATATTTCTGTGAAAAACTCTTTGCTGCTAGCTTGGGTACTTAGCAATCAATTTGTTTCTACATCGACCAAATGTCATTATATCACATTTTACTCTAAATGGGAAACACATGGACCTTGGCCCAAAGCAAGGTGTATAAATAGCTAGGATTTTACTTGATTGGTTACTTGGTTTCCTGATATTTCGTGGGATAGGCTACCATTATCAGTGTTTAGGGATTTCAATATGGTATCTTGTGTTGCTCGTCTTTTTAGTACCTTGCTTAAAAAGTTGATGAGGAATGGGTTTAGATAGTAAGTTTCGGTGCTTATATTGTTTTACTCGGTTCAGGGCCAAGGGTTACGAAGCATTATTACTCTCTTAATTAGAGTCGTAAAAGCATTGTGCCAATGTAGGGTGGTTGAAGTAGAATGAATGAGAAGAAACCATGATCTATCAAGCTGTTTTGTACAACTTCAATCGCTAGCCATTAATCTAGCCTAACAGAGTGAAGCTAGGAATTGTGAAAATGTTTGATGAGTAAGATTTAGTGGCCTAATCTTTTCACCTTTTCTCATTCACCTGCGATTATATTAGACAGGGTAGAATTGCTCGAGTTGGGGACCTTTGTTTTAATAACCTTGAGAGAACCCTTCTTGTATGATTTAGATTTGATTAGGAATTCCTTTTGTTCCTTTCCTCATAACTTGAGTTTCCCTTTGCACTCACTGGGTTATGTAACTCATGTTGGATGAACTTGTAAAACGAAAATGTTAGTGATATAAACGAATGAACTTATGAGAAGTTTAGTGGTCTGGTATATCTCATCTGACTGCCTTCTTTGTAGAAGCAGGGGCCAGCAACATACCCGATTAAGACCTGAATATTAAGTAGCTCTTAATTGAGATAGTTGCAGGTGTGCTTTTGCTTGGAGTCTTATTGTAGAAGAAGCTCGATCAGAACCTAGCTTTATTTATGGTAAGAAGTTTTTAGTCTCTGATTGGATATGTAGGAGGGCAATGTCTACTTTAGCCCTGCACGATTACCTGAGACAAAATAACTTAATGTTTATTTTCTGGTTTAATTTGAGATGAACGCTCCAGAGATTTGAAGATATTAAGAAATAGAGTGGCATTTGTGTGAGGCCGTGGGCACTAAGAAAGGCAAATTAATAACAATGTAGTGCCCGCTGAGTTCCCACTTTTGAGAAACTCACTAGCATTGACTCATTTCTAGAGCATCCTTTATTACTTAGATTGGATTATTTTTCTGAGTTTTTGACTGTAAG